TTTTTTTTTTTTTTTTTTTTTTTTTTTTTTTTTTTTTTTTTGGCTAGGAAATTTGCTTCTAGCTCGTATTTAAAATTATATTGATATTACATGATATTTTTCTATGAGAACATGGACCTAAACAAGTATGAGAAATGTTTTTCTAGAAGCAAAACAGAAGTATGAAAAACTAGGCCAAATAATTAAGACCTAGAGAAATTAGAATTCAAAATCTTTTATATCAGGATATAAGCTAAAAGAATAGTTCGCCTCCTGCCAAGTAAATCAGACTCAGATATGTACAAATTGAATGATACGAATTGTTTGTAAAGTGGGGTGCCTGGGTGGCTCTGTTGGTTAAGCATTTGCCTTTGGCTCAGATCAGAATCCAGGAGTTGCAGGCTCAAGCTCAGCAGAGAGTCTGCTTCTCCCTCTGTCCTTCACCCCATTCGTGCTCTTGCCCTCTCTCAAATAAATAAATAAAATCTTAAAAATAAATAAATAAATAAAATCTTACAGAAAAAAAGAACTGTGTGTAAAGCTAGACATTAAAACCCATTCACATCTACTTACACTAAAAGTTAAATAAAAAAACAGAGAAAAAAGAAAATGTGCACTAAATAATTTCCCATCATTAAAAAAGTCACAAGATGTTGCAGTGGAAAAAATGGGACACGTACAGTCAATAAAACGTATGTAAAGACACTGTCACTTCCATCACTAATTTCCTCCTTTTCTCTCCCATTTTACTAAGATTTTAGGACAGACGCCGCAATTGAGCAATGTAAGCTTGCTTTTGGTGAATTGTTCTAACCTGTACTTTCTGTGTACTTCCCTTTCTGGGCCTTCCCGGACACAAAGCTGTGCTGCCAGGCTTGGGTTCCCGGTGATGAACTTGGCAGTAGGTGACGAAAGTCTTCCTGTTTGTTCCAGATGTGTTTTAGACCCTATCTCACCCCTAGGAGCAAATCTCCTGGCTCTACCACTGACTTCTACATTGAACTGAAAGGGAACATTGTCTTTTCCCATAGGCTTTGACCGGCCTCTCTGCACCTACTTCCAGTGTTCTTTGCTCTTTTGGAAACACGAGATCTCAGGTTTCAGCCCTGGAAGCACAGGGAGGTTAAATGGGACAAGGACAACATGGCTTTGCAGCCCTGGAAATGCTTAGCACGGTGGACCAGACTCCCGCCAGGCTGCTGTGTGATAGGCTTACAACCCCTCTTTGGGGCCGCTGTAACCCAGAGAGAAAGAAAGACTTCTCAGAACTCTGCAAAAAGCCAGAACACTTGATTTCATATGCTATCTCAACCATAGTTATAACTGCAAAGCCAAAGGTTTATAATCAATAATCTCATTTTGAAATTGATTAGGTCATTTCCCCCAAATAGCCATTTAAAACCATGCTATTTCTGTGGCCTGTTAAAAATCTACTGCTGAACCCTGAAAACCTGAACTAAAGTTCTTGGTTTTGTAAGAGCTTGAAGGTTTCTGTGGCCAGTTTGAAGCTGTGATGAAGAATACCCAGGCCAAAAGAAAAATCAGGCAAGCTAGTATTTTTTTTCCCCAAATAACCAACTGTGTTTTGTGTTAGGCGCCCTGCCTCTTATCATATTTGCAGCTTCAAGGTCCACAGCAACATTCCAGTGGAACCCTGGTTCTTCACCATTCAGGAAAATACCAGCTGGCAGTCACTGGTATGAAGTGGATTCAGCAACCAGCAGTGTCATATTTAACCAGGGTAGTCTGGAGAGAGGACAGACACAAACGAACCGCTACTGCCCCGGAGAAAGATGGTGGAATAGCCAGTCTGAATGACCACTGGAAAGGGAGGGTAGCAGCTGGGCTGTGCTTACCCTTGCCGGGCTCTTGAGAGAAGACTGGACCTCATACCAAACTTCCTACAATACTGAAAGGTGATGAGGGTCCTCTTGTGAGGTCACTGATCACTATTAATTAGACCAAGAATGAATGTTCTGTGCCTGCTATACCTGGCCAGGACTGTTCATTACATGAAAAAATAAGACCAGGTCATTAACTCTTTCAAGGATAACGTGACCAGCAGGAATTTTAAACTGAGAGACTCCGAACATGGCAACTTCCTCGTGCCGATGTGACCCACACTCTCATCAATCCCCTGCCGACCTTTCGACCAAAATACATCCCTTGTGGTGACTGGGGAGGGACACTGGAAGCTGCGTCTGAGTATCAGAGGCCTCACTGATGCTACAGCTGCACTTCCTGCCACGGCCACTTCTAAGTCAAGTCAGAGTAAGGAAAGCCAGGAGTGTCTTGTGAGTTTGATCGATAACCTCAGCCTGAAACTCACTACTGTGGTCTTGCAAACGGCAAATGCTCTGCCTGTAAAAACAGTAGTTTCTTGATCTGGCTATCACTAAGCACACTTTGCCTGGCCTCCAAGGAAGACTGATAGTTGACTTTTACGATCTTTGCGTCTTTGAAATGTTACCTTTCATTTTATCTATCCCATCCTGTCAATAAGCGATAATCCTAGGCATCTTGTACCAGTCTACTCCACACTATGGCCTGGTGAACTGGGATCTCGCCAGAGGTTTTCAGATTAAAAACTAACAGCAACAACAACAACCCAACTAGTTAAAAAAAAGTGGCACAGGTAGCACAACCCTGGTAGAAATCTGACAGTTTCTCCTAGAGTGATTCGTGTTACAGAATCAGTTGTCAAACATAATGGTATCTTTCCACAAAAACTCCTTTAAAAATGGGCACAGGCAATAAAAGATAAAATTTGCTACATAAACATATTACTTTCTTAGTAAACAAAAAGAAATGTACTTGCTGAAAGTAAGGCATTTGGGAGCATCCAAGGAGCCATAGGGCTGACCTGTATACAACTATGATTTTAATACTCATTTCATAAAATCCTGGGAGATGCCCTTCTATTAGTCAGTGTCTTGTTTTTCAATTTTATGTCTCAAAAGGGAAAGAAAACATGCACCTTGAAATTTAAATATCTGTTACTTACAAAGATATATCCAAACTTAACTTCCACAAAATACCATTTTATTTTAATTTAATTAATTACCAGCTAGTAGGTCTGCCGACGCTGATGAACTAGAAGCAGCCTGAGGTGCAGGTTGGGGTTCAGAAGCACTACTTCCAAATGCATCTACCCATTATCCATTGTGCAGCACAAAAGTAAAAGAGTGTGAACAGTAAGTACAGTAAGTAAATTAAGTGTTTTGCCAAGAAATGCATAGACATGACACTGTATGGTTGAGCTTATCACTTGTGGATATATGAAATGACTGAGTGAGCTGAATTACACTCTGACCAGTTTATTCTCTCAAAAAAGAGTTCTGGAATATTGCAGATTAACACCCCTTTGTAAGAGTCAGACAATTCTTTTTTTCAAGAATAAAAGTTTTGGTGTAAATCTTGTGATCTCTTCAAATAGGACCAAGGTTTAAAAAATTTTGCCCAAAAGCAATACAATGGAATTTTCCCATTTAGAACTCTATTAAACTTAGAAAAAAAAATTAACAGATTGAACTTAAGCAGCAGCAACCACACTTGTACCCATTTATCAGAGTTCAGTGTTTATTTGCCCCATGTTTTGACCTCCTGAATGTCAGAGACTGTGACACTATCGTCCCTGTCATGTACTCATCATGGCACAAACCATGATGCTTCCATGTACACTAGGTAAGGTACTCAGTGTGGGTCAGCTTGCTGAGAATGGTATTTTAGCCCATGGCGTACACATCTATGGACATTCATGAAGAAATCACTTCAAACCTGTGCTTTTCCCTATAAATTTACTGCTAATAAATGACTTAAAATGCATCACCCTAATGAGTAGTACAAGAGTTAATTTAGTACATCTTCCTACCCTCAGTTAACATGTAGAGTAAGGGGAAGATATATTTAAAGCAGTGAAACATCTTCTGGTTCTCTGGAAGGATTTTAAAACATTAAGCTCAATAAACCCTACAGATTAATGAAGGGCTATATGGCTTATGTTCTCAGTTTTGACTGGCTTATTTGTTTTCAATTCTAAATCATCGAGTTAATGGGTATATTGCTATTAAGAACACAGAAATGTTGATGTAGCCAACGGATCAGGTTGGCCAAGGAACAACAGTAGAAGGAAATTCCAAACAGTTGATTCTACATAAAGATGAAGAGAAAGTTAAAAACACAAAGACTTCAAATGAAAAATGATCTGGTTCTGTCAGGCATGCATTGAAAATTATGACGAACGGATGAGGATGAAGAGAATGATGGCAAAGAAATGGAAAAGATCTTAGAAACTTGTTTACAGTGAAGAGATGGAAATAACTTTGGAGTCAAAGAAAAAATGATGGAATATAACGAAAGAGAAGATGTAAAGACTCTTCTGAGGGGTAAGAAAATACTCTTTTCATGTTGAAGGAGGAGAGATACGCACCCCCAAAAAGGTCTATCACACCTGAAGAATCCACCTTTGCTGGAGAGGCAGTGGTTGCAGGAGATGGTGTCGCAAATGCATCCACTGTGGTGAAGCAGACAACAGGGAAAATCGTGCGTCACCCAAGGGAAAATGAAACCATGAGCCTTGACAGATGGCTTCTTAGGATTTCATGTTTAACAGCAGGCGGTAAGATTGCAGATAGTCTTAACAGTTAAGACAAAGCAAATGGATTCAAAAATACACACTCTGCAGAAGAAAATAACATCTGCCTTCTCGAACTCAGAGGGTTTAGTGTGGTAGGCGGTGGGGCGGGGGGGAGGGGAGGCATCAAGAGTTGTCCCTCCTCACCAGCATTAGATTGGAAATTATGAATCTCATCCGTTGGTGATGGGCCAAAAGGAGATCTTTTTTTCCCCCCAAGTGGATTTTGAGTTTCAAAGAACTCCAGACAAACCTGAATGTTTTGGTATCTGCCTCTCCACACATAACCCCCACCAGACACGTCAGACTGTTTGGCCTTGGCAGGAGCACTCACCGGATAAGAGGTCAGCAGTGAGAGAACTCTCAGGCACAGGAGAGGCCCCTTGTGGTGGAGAGGAGAAAGCATCTTCCGAAAGTGAAACAAACCAAAACCAAGCAGAGGTAAGTAGAAAGCTGAAATCAAAGTTAAATATCTAACAAACGCATTATCACAGGGGAGCACAAAGAGTTCAGTCATGAGAATATCGGGGGGAAACGAACGTTCAAAAACAAAAGGGGGGGCTTCGGTTTTTACCTGTCCCAAACAGGTCTATGCTAGGCGCAGCATCCGGCTTAGGCGCCGCGGCGACTTCCGGAGGGGCCTCAAACAAATCTAAGACCAAGAACACACATGCCTTTACTCAACTCCACAAGCCCACCTGACACAGCAGCATCACTTCCCAGTTCTGCAGGAGCCCGGGGGGACAATTCCGAGACAAGCAGCGTGGAGTATACACAGTGGTCATGCAGTAAGGGTTGTGGATGCGGGGCCTTACAGGTGCCAGATGGAGAGAGTTCAACAACAACAAAACGTTACCACCAAAGATATCTAGAGCAGGAGGAGCGGCGGTGGTGGCAGCGGAGGTGGTGGCGGTGGCGGCGGCAGTGGTGGCGGTGGCGGCGGTAGTGGCAGCCGTGGCAGCTGCGACAGCGGGAGCAGGAGAAGGAGCAGTGGCGGGAACCGGAGGGGCTGTGCTAGCTGTAGGGGTAACTACAGGAACACTGGTCTCAGGTGGCTTCATTGCAAAGAGGTCCAGCTCTGGTGCAGCCTCTGCACTACCTTCAGAAGGGGCAAAGGGGTCTTTTGGAAAGGAAAGCGGAGACACACATTCAGCATCAGTGAGGAAAGAGAAGAGAGACAGAGGCATCGTAACTATGGGTAAGAGACACCTGACACAGATATTCACACACTAGCTAGGCATTAGGCTGCTTGGACTGAACTACTATCCTATCAGCAAGGCTCAGTGATTAGGATGTTTTTCTAAAGGAAAAAAAAAAAAGAAAATTTAGTAGGTAACACAAGTTAAGAAACTTAAAGGCTTCAATGTAAGATAAGCCTATGGTCTAGGATCAGAGATTGTTATTCTTCAAATCCTCAATCTGGGCAATTTGGTAGCTTTAAAAATTCATTAAAACATGCCTATATAGGTGAACTCAGCGCTACACAAGAGTGCAATCCAGCAGGAGGGGACAAAAACAAAACAAAACAAAAAACATTAAGAGAGCATACTTGCCCTGACAAAAATTGTCAATCTTGAGAAATTGTCAATTTTGATAAGTATGCATGTCGTCATCTTAATGTTTTAAGTGCCAGCACTACTGAGTCAGTTATGATGAAGGATCCTTTATACTCAGAAGAAATTAAAGTTGGAAAAACATATGGCCACATCTCACTACGGGCATTTCACATTGGGACAGAGAAAACAACAGACTTGCTCGCGACTGTCGACCCACCATTTCCTGAGCATGCATCAAGGGCTGCGGCTACGGGGGCTGGGGTCGCTGGCGCGGCGGCCCCTTCGGATGCTGCAGGGGCCTCCCCGGGAGAAGCTGCAAAGGCATCTTGGGTGCGGTTTGTAAAACAATAGAAATTAAAGGAATAAAAAGAGAAGAAAATATCGTAAAAGAACCGAGTTAAATTGCAGAAAAGGCTCCCTTATACAACATGAATTTCTTTAAATGCATTCTTACGGCCCATGCACTGTTGGTGTCACAGAGTCATGATTCTTTGTGCTCCTTCGTGTTAGTTCCATGCAAGTGGTATAGGGTTCATACTGCTGAGGCCCTATTAGGATCCATCAGGTAACAAGATTCTCATTGTATAAGGGCTCGGAGAAGCATGTTTTATGTAACATTAGAAATTAATGGATGTGAAGATTAAAACCCCCAAATAACTTTATTACATGATTTAAGACCTTACTCTTTTGTGGCCAGTGAACACTTATTCACTATGTTACCATGATGGCTCTTTGGTGGTTTCTATCATAGATGTCTTCTTTAATGGCAATGAAATTAAACAAATGATGGTAATGTAAATAAATATAGTTCAAAAAATTTTTATGGTCTAGTACAGCATAATTACACTGTGAATACGAAAGGTTTACTAAGTATTCATAAAACAGTTAAGTCTTTGCTTATCCTTGAGAAACATTTTCAGATACAACCAAGGATTTAAGGAAATAGATAACAAAATTAGGGGATGACACTTTAATGCCTTTATTTCAATTTCAATTTATCATTGTTTTAAAATGTATTGTTTTCATTATTTGGAAAATGATCTATTTTCAACAAACTAAAAACATAGTTTCATGCTTTAAGACTATAAGTGTATCACTATTTATAGCAGAAAATCCATTTATAGGCAGCCCCAGTTTATAAATGCCCAGTATATAAATGGCTGATGTGTACAAACAGCACCCAATGCGTTTCTGCCAGTAAACCATGTGAATTTGGTTAAAAAAAAAAAAATCCTGGAGCCTTCAAAGAGATTCTATAGTTCAAAGGTACAAATAATGAAGCTATCATAAGTATGATTTGCTTAGAAGAAAACTCCTAGAAATATCCACCTAGAATCTACCATTTACCTGCTAGACTTCTCATCCTAAAATGCTGCCTTCCACAATATCTACAAACATTCCCTAGAACACAGTTCCTCTGGCCATTAAGAAGGATTTATCATATAGGCTTGTGAAATGCTACACAGTATACCCTTTTTTGGAGATTTATGTAGTATACATTAGGCTGTAGGAAGTCCTATAGTTAGGACACTTGTTTCTGAGTTTAATCCAGCGTGGTCTAAACTGATCTTAGTACGAAACAGACTTTCTTTCCTGTTTTCCTGTGCTGAGGCCGGGCATTAAGTGGAACAACACACACTAAACTGGTCACTTGGGTCAAAATGTCCTTTACAAAAACAGATACCCTTAGAAGACACAACGAAACAATCAGTTATTCATATCTTACAGACTCATTTGAACTGCTTTCTTCCCTCAGCTACATAAGGGAATGTGTTTTTGGACCAAGGGTCTGTCAGGGGAGAGGCCAAATAATAGTGGAGTGCGCTAGGCCATGCTTGCTTCCCCAGATGCAATGCTAAGGATACTGTATTAGAGGGCCTAGAGCAGTACGAAAACCCCAAGAGCCAGGGCAGAACACTAGAGAGTAGAAGAGAAAGCTGGCAGGGCTGAAAGCATTTTGCCACAAGTCAGGTCTGTTTTCTTTCTTTTTATTCTCATAAAAGCTTGAACCAAGGCTAATAATACTAGGACTAGTAAAAACAGTAATAGCGGTCATTGTGAATACTTACGTGTCAGTCACCGTGTAAATACTTTGTGGACATTATTAAATCTAATTCCTATAACTATCTTACAATATCGGTTCTATTATCTCCACTTTGTAGGTCAGAGAACAGAAGCTTGCGGAGGCCGAGAGACGACTAAGATCACAAAACAGGCAAAAAGGTGGAGTCAGGATTTGGTTGTAAACTGATGGAGGTTTGTGTGTTTAACTACTATGCTGCACTGTTGCGAGCCATGCCACACTCTGTTTTGTCTTTGTAGGATGGAATAAACACCAGTTATATCAGTGTTGGGGGTCAAATAAATATCCATGGGCTGGCCTCTTCAATTATCACCTTTGTGAAAGTAGGTAAAACCCATATTTGCAACCATGTCCTCACAAGAGGTTTTTTCCTTCCCTGTCATCTCCTTTTAATGCTTCTCCTGTTACTTAAAACTAGACATTATAAACTCATCTAGTCCCATCAGAACTTCTCTTAAAGACAGGAGCCCAGCTGCTCCAGGCCTGTCTGCTAAATCTTCCAGGCCAGGAGGAAGAGATCCGCATGAGTAAGGCTGCAGCTGACCCCAGCCACTGCCTGACTAGCCAGGAAGGAGACCCTAAATGACAATTGTCCAGCAGAGCTCAGCGGGCTCCAGAACTGTGAGAGGTAATAGAATTTTTTTTTTTGAACATAAAACAAAACTTGTTCTACTACCTAGCTTTCTTTCATTATCTATGGCAGCATTATCCCTCTGGTTCTGAAAACTCAATCTTTTTCCAGTTAAGTTCTCTTTCCCTTGGTACCCATTTGCAGTTCATTTTTACATTTTGCTTATTTTCAAAAAAAGTGCTATTTCCTTGGACATGCATGTTCCTGCTGTTCTACAATTATGGACCCAGTCCAGACCTTCCCCAGCAAAATCATCTCCTTGATACCATTATAGACCAGTCTTCTTTCCCTTCTAGCAATCTAGGAAGAATTTTCTCTTTAATTTTTTAGCATGTGACTACCTTTCTAAAAATTTCAAATAGCTGTCGTTTTCCCCAACCTGAATTCTCCCCATCTTCTCCAGTCACATAAGCCATCTTTATATCACATACTTGGCATAAAGGTTTCAGTCATTGTCAAAAGCCTGAAAGTCACCATTCTAAGTCTTCCCCAAAGGTCCCAAGTTATAAGAGGTTATAAGACTCTATACATGAAATCCACTTTTAAGAGCTATATTTAAGTACTGGTTTTAAGGAAGGTTGATTAAATTAGTTTCTCAACAAACTTGTACAAATGAAAGCCAGCTTGAGAGCTAAGCTCTCTGTTTTCCAGCCACTTGGTTTCATGCCCACAGACTACGTCCTCATGAAGGCTTGCTCACAAATTAACACAAGTGATTGAAAGGGTACCCTGGTGAATGTGTAGAGGAATTAGTCTCACTTTAGTATTCTCATGCTTAGAAAAATCCTGTGTTTTCACAAACTAACGTGCTGCTGTTAACAAAGTTTTCAAGTGAAAAATAGAATATTTTAAATATTTTTGTCTTTTATTTTCATCAGTATTTGTAAATTTTACTGATTTTTTGAAAAGCACAATACTATCTTGCTGTCCTGTTCTGCATGACCACAGCAAGCAGATTTTTTTCTTAAAAGTTCACTTTAAAAAATAAAGCATTTAGTAAATACAATGTTTCTGAAAAAAAGTTTTTAATGACTTACACTGAAATAACTAAAATGTTATGTGGGGTATCAATCTGAATATTTAAAATTGATGGACATTTCCTATTTTTCAAATCTATAATGAGAATGCACAGAAAACATCAATGTTTTAATATTTCATATTTATGAGATAAATTCGCTACTTTTCAGAAATGAAAGCTCTTTAACTTATTTCTAAAGCTATTTAATATTGATGTACAAGCTAGACAAAACTCGAAAGCACGTTTAAAAGTCACGTAAACAAAATATCTGGTGCCCTTATATATTTAAGAGTTCTAACACTTACCCATTTTAGTGATACAGATTAAGAAAAAAAAATGGCCATACTACATGGCTCATCTCTAAATGATTCCTTAAAAGTCAATAAAGAACATGAAAGAAGTTAGGGAATATTCTCAAAAAGTACCTAACAGTGATACACATAGACTTCTGACCATAAATGATAGAAATTTTATAGCTCTCAGAGGTCAGGAGACAGTTTATGGGACTATCCAGATCAATAAAAATGATTGTGATGAGATTTACAGATGTACTCACTCTACCCACAGCCAAATACCCAGAAAAGATATTGGTAAAATCCCAAGGAAGGCTCCATTCTTTGGCATTAAGTTAGATGGCTTTCTGAAGTTTTAGTCTTTTAAATCTGTATTTCAGGGCAGAAAAAGCCATGACAATATTTACAAACATACAGATTTTTCTGCTTGAGGAATGCAAAAAAATCAGTAATTAGTGATCAACACAAATGGCATGATGGCACAAACACTATTTCAAAGCAATATATTAGGCTTTATTACTCTAGAGAGCCATGAGGGAAGCAAGCTGGAGTTGATTGATTTCTTAAAGGCAATTAATTAAGCTCCTTACAAATGTACTGAAAAACAAAAATCTAAATAGCTAAGGATACAGAAATGTTTAAGCACAAAATAGTTATCCATCCTGTTCATATTTTCCTTAAAGTTTTTCTGTCAACATAAGCCTATGAGAAACCACTCATACCCAATGCCAGTTGTATGGGGGGAAAGGGAGGACGTGAAGAAGTTGGTTTTATAAAATTAAGCTAAAAATTTAATTTTTGGTCTCAGAAGTTATAGAGGCATCACTGTAATTTTTGCTAGTGGTTTGCTATTTTTAATAAAATATTCCAAAGCTTTTCCCTACTTCTTAAAAAAAAAAAAAAACAAAAACCACTTTCTCCTATAGTAGGAATGGCAGCATAGCAAGGCAGCAGCAACTTCCTTGTGTGGAACTGGCCACGATGCTGTGTCCAGTTCGGTGCTTCTTGTCTCAGATGATGTCGGCCAGCCTCAGAGACTGGGGCGTGGCGGGGAGCACAGTGCTACATGGCAGTGTGTAAGCGTACGTTCCCAGGGGAATGTACAGCTCCACCAGAGCTGCCAAGTCTCTCCTGCTCTCCCCATCACTTGCCTCCTCCAATTTCTTTACCATGTTCTCAAAATGCCCTGGGAAAGATGTTATATGGTAATGAAACACAAAAACGATGATGAGTATAACACCATTTGATGTATGTATTTGACATGAGCACTTCTCCAGGTGTGGACGTCAGCACCACTCAGACGGGGAGATGTAAATATACTGGCTTCAGACGGGTCCTCAGGTCCAGGCATATTATACTGCCAGAGTCTACGATACCTGACTCGAGCTCACAGCTATAAATCAACTCTGTCAGAATTTACATCTGCACGTAAAGTACATTTTCAGGCAATCATTTCAAAGCCTGACCCAAACCTGTTTTCCATCAGCATTCTGAGTGTTGTATCAAAAAAATCTCTCAAAGTTCCAAAGCCCAAGATGCTCCAAGTTTTTGCTCGTACAGAACAAGCTTACAGTTACAAAAATGGGCATATCCCTAAACTCTCTTCAGAGACCTCCAAATCTGAACTACTCTTGGATATTTTTTTGTCTTACATCTTAAAAAAATAATTTAAGCCAGGACTTCCCTTTTCATATTCTCCAAGTATTATTCATTCAGCTGGTGTGAATGTGGTAAAAAAAAAAATCAAACCTAGATATGATACAGAGGTCTGGTACCACTTTCACATAGATTCTATGGGGCAGGAATGTGTATAGGACAAGGGTTCTAAGAACAATTTAAATCCTTACTTTTAAAAAAACAGAAAAATAAAATGGGCCTAAACCATTGCAACCTTTGCTCTAAAACCATTAAAATTAAGTCAAGATAAAGTTATAAATTTAGCAAAGATAACTATCTATGAATAAACAGTTAAAAAGTAGTGAAACATTCTGACAGGCTGTCATATAATGTAGACACTTTTAAGCCCCTTAACTTTAAGGTAATCTTCGCAAACCCGGCAGGAAAAGGACCAGTGATGTGACCGACTAACCTCCAAAGAGATCGACGTCAGCAGTGACAGCAGTGACAGTTGTGGTAGTTGAGGCAGAGGCTGAAGCAGTTGCAATTTCAGAAGTTGTAGTAGGAGGGGTAGGTTCTGGTGCAAACGGATCTGAAATTTGTGCTTCAGAGGGAACAGAGGAAAGTGCAGCCAGAGAATCTATGTTGCACCACCAACAGAAAACAGACAGGAGGAGAGAAGAAGAGGAAAGGACACAAGATATACCAGACTCCAAATGACCAAAAAAGGACAGTTATTTAGAGAAGGAAGTCTCTCAAAACAGAAGTTTAAAATAAAGCTTTACTCACCCTCTCCCAAAAGGTCTATCGATGTCCAGTATGTGTCAGCATATGAAGAAATGAGAGAGAAAGCTGAAACATGCAACCACACCAATGTCCAAAGCAGGGTGAGGTACTAACTGAAGACATTTCAGTTGTAAGCACCTTTCTGGACCATTTGTAATTTTAAAATAGCGTACTACCTATTATTATCACGGAATGTTTGAGTGAGAAGGGACCTTAGGTCCCCTAGACCAAGCTTCCAGTTTTATAGATGGGAAAACTGGGAGCAAGCAAGGTCAAGAGACTTACCTGAAGTCCACTCTAAACAACTTTGACAAACTCAATTTCTTACCAGATTTACCATTACATCTGCTTTGATGGATTTTACTAAACGATAAATATCAATTCTTAAGAAACTGTAGTTAATTAAATGGTATTAATCATCTATTTTGGGGCGCCTGGGTGGCTCAGTGGGTTAAGCCCCTGCCTTCGGCTCAGGTCGTGATCTCAGGGTCCTGGGATCGAGTCCCGCATCGGGCTCTCTGCTTGGCAGGGAGCCTGCTTCCCTCCCTCTCTCTGCCTGCCTCTCTGTCTACTTGTGATCTCTCTCTGTCAAATAAATAAATAAAATCTTTAAAAAAAAATCATCTATTTGATGTGTCACTTCAGTCCAGAAAACCACAGAATAAATACAGGCTTTATGATAACTGTAGTTCAATTGTAGAACGTACCAAATATAATCAAAGAACTGAGTCCAAGTTTAGGGGCTAGGGAAAAACAACCCTCACCTACATGATTTTTGTCTTCATAAATTTCACATTATTGGATGTTTTGCAATGTGATATATAATCTCTCCATTTATAAACATTACGTGACAACATATGAGAATAATTTTTAAGATGAATGGGACAGATTATGTAGCATCAAAACTTTTCAGGCCATCTGAGGTCTGCGTTCCTTTCGGAGGTGCATACTTCCTTAGGGTTCAACAGTGGGATTACAGTTCGCATCCTAAATAAAAAGCCAAGGAAGAGTAATTCTTACCTATACTATGACTTTAGGTTAAACATTTAGAGAGTCCAATAGCATTCTTGCATTCCCAGTCATGTGATAAACCCCAGGGCTCATATTTGAAATCATGAATGTTATTGGAAATTTATTTTAATCATAAAGAAATTTTATCAGAACTCATTAGGGAGTTATTTTTTTAAGAGCCTTAAAAACAATGTGAGAAATCAGTAAACTAAAAGTTCTGGAAGACATTTAAAGAACTGGGAAACATAAATTTGACACTAAAAATGATCACATACATTTAACCATGCAATTTGCAAACCCAATAAATATTAGATAAAGTATTCTATAGGCACATTAAGGTAATCAAAGCCCATCCTAACCAAATCTTATATATTTCATAACAATATTAAAAAATTATAGCACACAGGGTACTTCACATTAGAAACAGTTTTTAAATTTTAGAATGTATGTGTAATTAACACCAGCCAAAAGGGAACTATATTGATTTGGGGCTGTTAGCTGATCAGGTCCCAAATCCTGAGAAACAGAAGGTACTTCCAATAATTCCTCAAACCAACAGTATCAGGCCCAAGACAACTGTTATTTTATACTCATACATCCTAAATTATTAATTAGAAACCAAAATGGGTCATCAGAAGCCAGACAGACTTGATTTCTCTATTCTCCTGGCATTGGTAGGACTCTCTCTAGTCTTGTTTTATCAATGGCTAGTTCAAGATGCAATGTGACTTAGCAGAAGACCTAAGAGCCATGTGATTTAACAGTTTCCAGACTTGTTATTGTCTGGGACAGGGAGTGGGAAATTTATTTTGTATATTTGGTAAGTGATAAAGAAGAAGACTATTTACGACTATTAGGAGAGAGAAATAGAAATATTTTTAAAAAGTATAAAGGATTAAAATACTTGTTCCATGTTTTTGACTAGTGTTTTATTCAGATGGAGGGTTATAAGACTTGCTGCAGTATGACGAAAGATGGAAATGAAAATTTCCCAGGGAAATGTACGACAATTAAAAATACTGGTGCATAACCGATGTTGAAAGCTTTTGCTACAGGTGTTAGTCTCTAAAAATCCCAATTTTCTGGAAGAAATATAATTTGTTATTTTTTGCTTTATGCAAAATTTCCCCTGCTATTAAAGAAAGGCATACATTAGGATGATGAGAACAGTTATTATTCTCAAAGCTACCACTTTTTTTTAAATTTATTTTTTTAAATTAACGTATAATGTATTATTTGCCCCAGGGGTTCAGGTCTGTGAATCGTCAGGCTTACACACTTCACAAAAGCTACCACTTTTTTATAAAATATTAAACTATACAAAACACTCCTCCCCAAAACCCATAGCAGCAGAATTCAATTCACTGGCAAGTAGTACATAATCAGAGTTATTTTTTTGCATTTTGGAAATTACCTGAAAATATTCACTGTAATTGAGGAAATAAAACCACAACTAGATAAATACGGAAATCTGTATTTTGCAGTGATATGAAGCAAAACTTCCTTGATTATTATAAAGATTGAATGTGTTAATATATTTACGTGCTCACCCATACCTGGAGCATATCAATGCTTGCTAATAACAATAGCAGTAGCTAACATTTAAGTCGTTACAACTTTCATTACAGAACTCCCGACTTTCAAGCTTCTATAAATTTGTGTGTATGTGTGTACACATGCATGTTTCCAAAACAGCCTGCAGATATGCCCCCAGATTTAATTAACAAGCAAATGGTAATACAGGTCACTAAAATTGCTTGTACTGTGGGTAATATTCCCCATGGAAACTATTAGAGTCATATGATTGCATGATAATGGTGAGCCTTCAAATGGATGTTGGTAATTATTTTCTATTAGGTCTCTTAATTCTAATAAAAACCATAACTAGGTCAACTAATTATAAAAAGACTCTAACAGAAATTCTGTATTTCTCAGAAAAAAGAAATTTCACCTTAAGCATTTTAAAGAAGAAATCATCTGTTTCCCACTCTAAGATACACAGAAATACAACACACATACTCACTTGTTTGTGCTGAATTTATTATGAAGAGAAAAACACACTCATTATGGGGCCAAAGGCAGGGATTTAAAAAATGCTGTCTTCTTTCAGTCAAACATGTTCATTATCAGCCCACAGAATGCAAATCTTATACGCATTACTTAACTTAGGTTTACTAAAATACGAATTTGCTAAAACGTGGTTGTTTTATACCAATAGGAAAAATACTATCATTTACAAGATGCACCTGAAAATGGGAGTATTTATCAGTACCCATAACCCCCAAGACAAATTAATAAACACTTGAAATGCCCTTGGTGGTTGGAAAACGAATCCTCTTACTAGCATTATGGTCAGATAAGAATATTCAAATAAGTCTACAGTCTTAAGGTTTATAGTTTATTGTTTGGTTATACAAAATTAAAATGCGCTTCAGTAACAGAAGTTTGATTTTATCAAAGAAGATTGAGAAAGTGATTTTATTTATTTTTTGCTTAGAAATAATGAGCCAAACATATTTGTTACAACTTAGCATCATGTTCAACCACTTACTGGGTATCTATAGGAAAAATGCAGACCAAAGGTAACAAATGTTTCTTGATTTCATATTACACAAGTTTACTTCAATTTCTTAAGGCTTATAATTTTTACTATTCTGCTTAGAATTAAAGATTTATTACTGTTTTTCTCTGTGGCTGAACTTCTACTACTATGAAATACTGCAGTTATAGATATTTTCTTGAGACAGTAGACTAATGATGTCTAACTATCAAAGAGTGACCATCAGGCCCTAAGCCAAGGTTCTGCTAGCCTACCAGGTATTTTGTACAGTATAAAAAAGTGTTCCCTCTGCACCAGCAGATTAGGAAAAGAAAAGCACCTTTTTCTCAAGGAAGAAAAAGGCTCACAGTTTGACTTGCAGAAAGCAGGCTGGATTTTAGTCCCTCTCATCCTGCTTTTGATCAAGACATAAACTGCATGTCCCTATTGAACAGAGCTGACTAAAACCACAGTATTCTGTTTTCGTCTATATCCACTATGTTAATGCTTCAATCACCAATAGTTACTTATTTCTAACAAGACTGAAATATACTCTGATAAAACTGGTTATTAGAACTTATTCCTTACAGTACAGTATCTTAGCAAAAAGTGCCTGAAGACAGAAATGAATAACAATGTTTCCCTGCAATTTTAGAACATTTCACCTAGCTTTATCTTTTCACTTGGCATTCTTCTGGTACAAAATTAAAAAAAAAAAAAAAAACAAAGAAAAGAAGAATAATTACTCTTCAATTTCATGCCAGAGAATAAGGTGAAAAGAGACGGTTTACAGTTTCACTGTTTATTAAAGTTCTAAGTAAATCATTAAATGTTTGATAAGTTCTAAAAATTACAGTATGTATACTGATTTTTAAATAGTTCACAGAATTAAAGACAATACATTCATATAAAACTGGAAAAATTTTGTATAACCCCACAAATTATAAATTAACACTAAATTTTAAATTACAAAAGTTCTCTGAAAGTCACTTATATGAATTTATGACCAAAAATGTGTGGTTTAAAGATATGGATTCGAAGCATTTTAAATGAACTAGAAAGCACAATTGTTATAGAACACTGTGGTAATGAAAATACATTCTTAGTAAATTGAAATAATCAAATATTTCTGAAAGATGAAGCTCAGAATGAAAGTCTGAGAGCCAGAACACTGCACTTATAAAATCTGAGCAGCAATATTTTCCTTTTAACAACTGAAATTTAATAAAGTTAAGTAAAGTTGAAAGAGCAATTTTATTTTAAAAAATTGATAGCTATAAGCTTAGGAGTAGAACATTTCAACATAAGAGATTTAAATATTTAAAGTGGAAAACACCAATATTTAAAATGCTCATATTTATAATTAGCATTGTAGGACTGGTATGTATCCTACAGATAGATATATTGTAAGACTGGTTATCTGTCATTTATTTTGTTGCCAAAATAACTTGCAAATAAAATCAAGAGA